TGACTTGTAATGTACCATCACACTTATGGAACACTTCCTTTCTGATAACAATGTGGGTTTTTTTTTTCCTCTGTACATTAAAGGAGCTAATATTTAGTGAGTGTCTGTGTTTCCTTCAATTTGAGGAATTTGTAGAATTAATGGTGCTCTGGGAGTTTTTATATAATTTCCTTATTAATAAATACATGGAGTTCCAGTTACAATACAAGATTGCCAATGAAAACAACATGATAATGTTGAAGTATTGCTTGTACTGAAGGGGATGTGAGCAACCTCAATGGGGTGGAGAACTGTGTGTACTTTGGTGGTGAGTATGGTGTGGTAACAGAGCTGAAGAACCTACTCCCCTAAATTATACAATGTCAGAAACCAATGTTACCTCAAAAAAAAGTAAAAAGTAAACGTTTGCTAGTGTTACTAAAACGTCTTTTGATTGATCCATTATAACTTTAAATATTGATCATCCTAGATTGTCCAATCAAATTTTCCTCTGTGCCTGCACTTAATTGGTTGTGGACTGGTGATTCTTACTGTCTGATCACTTTATAGTCCTGTTTACAACCTACCAGCATCTTTTATTTTATAATCAGATATAGTAAAGACAACAATCCCCAAAACAGCCCTAGTATCAGGCTTCCAAACCTGGCAGGATCTCTCCCCTTAACATAAGGCTCTGTTCAAGCTTTTTCCTAGCAATTCATGAATAAACATCCTTTTATTCAAATAAGTTATGTATTAACTAACTCCAGTAATTTTGATTCAACTTTGAATGGTAAATAGACTTATTCTGGCAAGACTGCAGAGTTTGCAATTCAAATTACAGAAATGTTGATAATGGGGAAAATAAAAATTAGTGGCATGATTCCTAAGGCACCATAATTCCAATACTTTTATTGTAACGGTAGAAAGTACACATAAATACTTCTCAATTTATAAGCCAATGGCTTTTATTTGGACAGGCATGACACATTTACCTGCAATCTCACAGGAGCATACCTCTCAGGAACTCATAGGCACCTGCTAGAACGCTAAAGCTCCCTAACCCCAGATATTAAGAGGCAATGTTGCTACTTCTCAGTAAATAAACAGTGAAATAGTCACTGGATTAAATGATTTCCTTACATTATCACCATAAACAATAATTATTTGGCAGCTGCCCTTTGCGAGCTTTGCATGTGCTTATGAATAAATCAAGTCTTATTGATTTACTAAACCAAAACGTTTTACATTTTTCTCCTCCACTAAGAGCTATAATCCTCCACTGCACTTAATGATGCTTTCATGTAGTATGTTTGTTAATACTTTTAACATGAAAGATTAGTACCAATTATCTCATGAACAGAACACTGCTCTTTGAATGGCCAATTGGCCACTAAACCCAGGCCTCTCTAAACATGTCCTTAACGAAGTTCTCTGCTGCTGATTGGAATCACATCGTGATGAAATGTGGAGGCATTACTACCATGCTGTCCCCCCACCAGAAAGCTTGATGTAACAATGTCAACTTGCATTCATTCAAGGAGGAAATTCATTACAGGAAGGGAAGAAGGGACTGCAAAGAACACTCATGCTTGGCTCATGTCATCTGAAATAATAAAGTCACTCTCTTTCAGTGCAGTAACTTCAGAAACTACAGGACTGCTGTGGAGAGTCCCACAGTGCCCTGAAAGATCTTAAGTTCTCCAACCAGAGTCTGCCCATAAAAGACAGTCTTCTCCCTTCTCCCATGAGCAGGTAAAATCACCAAAAAGCCCACCACCCTCCCCTCACTTAGTCCAACCAAAATTTGAAGCTGACTGATTCAACCTCCACTTCCAATGATCTTGCACTCAGAGACCGCTGCATCATTTTAGTTCTCTGGGTTCTGAGGCTACAGTCCTTTACTGAGCTGGATCCTAGCCTTTGCAGATGCTCCTAGATCCAGGCACTCATGGTGATTCCCTAGCCGAATTTGTCCCTCCCATCCACTAACACTTCGTTCCAATAGTAACACAGAAACTTTACTTCCACACTTCCTATAGATGCCTGAGCTCTGCTACCACGACTGCTAATCCCAAAAAATCTTTATTCCTCATGCATCTACACAAGAGGAAAAGCTGACACCACCTTCTTCTTTCCTTCCTTTCCAAGGAGCACAAACCAAGGTTTCCCTAGGAGACTGGAGAGCTCCTTAGAGATCATATACAATACCCCCCTCAATTCAAAGATTAAAAAATTGAGGGGGTCCTTCCTGGTGGCACACCAGGTAAAGACAGTGTACTACAAGCTAGGCACAGCTGCTTCAATCGATGCAAGTTCGATCCCCCGCCCAAAGCTGACCCACATGGCACAGCGGACCTCTCCTCTCCTGTCTTGCCTGCTGCTCCCCTCAGCAGTGTACTTCGTCGATCTATCTGCCTGTTCGACTCCCCATCTATCTCTGGTGAATCCTCTCATTGCTCCTGTACCTCTGGCTTGTACCCCAGTTCTGCATGCATAAATAAATAAACCTTTCAAAATTTACTTATTTTTCAAATTTAAAATTGAGAGGATCTCACCTGTATAGACAATTTAACAGGAGAAGCTAGATAAGAAGCCTAGTCGCACCATTCACAATGTCCGTCTCCAATCTCAGAGCTTAGGGGACCAGTAAGAAAAGCTCTCCATCATCACGAAATGTCCCTCAAAACATGATGTGTCAAGGATCATTCTATCTCACACTAATACTCTCAGATGTCTTGAAAAATCAAAGTATGACCAAGACGGAACAGGCATAGTTGCAGACTTTACAATGATATCAGCCCTCTAAGACAGAAAACCACACGAACAAGAATCCCTGTTCAAAAATAGATTCTACGATTCCCAGTAGAGCAACTGCCGCCTCTGGCTACAAAGCAATAATTACCCTGTACTACAGCAATCAATAAAACCTTTTGCCCCATGAACCTGCTATTTCCTGACTTTGTTCTCTGTAGTAAAGATTTCCAAGTCGTATCGATTACCTACTAAATTGTTTTAAAGTTCTTTAAAACAAGCAATAAAGAAATTCTCAAATTAGCATAAGCTGTTATTGTGTGAGGGGACTCCAATTCTTTCCATCACATTAATGGTTTCCCTTTCCACAGGATTTTCCCATTTTTCATTCTGAATTTGTCATTTTAAGTGTGTCTGTCTTGCTTAATAGCACAAAGTCAGTAGGATACAAATTTGATGGGGTTTCTGAAACTGACTGCTGACACATTTTTCAACCAAGTGAGAAAGAAAAATTGATGAATAAACGATGCCCTCTTTCCCAAGCAACAGCATGGATTTGTACTAAATGAACCCATTAGTTCTAAGTGTTAAAATCCAGTATCATAGAACTTGTCTCTAAAACTGTTCACACTACAGAATCTATTATAAAATGAAAGACGCTTACTCCCCTTCCAAAGGCGTTTAGCTGCTGAAGCTTCAAACGTTCAGAGTGAGTCCTGAGCGAGCAAGGCGAGGGCAGTGAAAGGCACGTAGGCAAGGGACCTGCGTTTGCACACTTTGAACCCTCTTGGCCTCTTTCTCCATCCTCCTGCACCCATTATCTGTCCTCTGAAACTGAGGCAAGTCGGTCTGTATCATCCCTGGAGTGTGTGGGAATATGGATTTGTGCAAAGCTGGGCAAGTAGCTGGAGCTCAAATTTTTAAGTAGAACTGTTACTTTACCAATATTCCATGGGTACAATTCATTCATCGAGACAGGCTTGTTTATGATCAGAAATCACAATTAAATAATACATGTTATAGCCTATCTGCTCACCTCTGTGGCTATTTAAATGCAGAGCAAGAGGGAATAGGATTCAACCTTTAAAACACAGGAAATCCTGCCATACACTATCACATGAGTAAAACTTGAGGACATTCCACTAAGTGAAATAAGCCCATCACAAAAGGACAAATACTGTCTGGTTCCCCTTAATCTGGGACATGTAAAGCAACTCAAATCAAAGAATAATATGAATGTACAACCTTTTTTATTGTTCTTATTTACTCATACTCCCAGCATTTTGTTCAAAAATGGCTACATGTCCTCCTTTGGTATGGCTATGTAATACTCCATAGTGAGTATCCCATCTCCTAAGATGACATTTTGACCCTTGAGAATAAGCATCAGAAGTTTTCTCCAATACAACATCATGTAATGAAACACAGAGAACAATTTGAGATTCAAATATTTGAGGACTCAGTATTTTTTAACAGGATCAGATGAGTTTGTTGAAAGCATTTATAATATGCAACCCATTCTCTGCAGCAGAATTTTCTCAAAGTCAACACTAGCGATAGTTTCAACCCACTGACTCTCTTTGAGGGCTGCCCTGTGCCTTCTAGGATGTTTAGCAGCATCCCTGACTTCAGCCCACCAGATGCCACCCCCTCTTAAATCCCAAATGCTTCCAGAGGTTGCCAAATGTCCTGGGGGGTAAAAGAGCCCCAGTACAAACCACTACGTTCCAGCAACTGAAGGGATGTGATCTACACAGGCAATGACAATTCCTTTGACAGCAATGTTTTCTCTCCTCATCTGTTTGGCTTTGTACATGATCTGGACCCTGACAGACTCCCCATGAAACAGATTAAAATTTATTAGAGACCTTGTTTCAGATGATCTGTAGCTTTGTTCCAAATGTCTAGTCTCTAAAGCAAAAGAAAAGCAACATACTTCTTCGTGACCAAAAGAACTCAATCACTGACAACCTTCAGCCTTCATCTCCTACTTCCAAAACCCATTTGAGGGTTGAGTGCCAAGCCCTTCTTTCCTAATGGTGTCACTGGCTCAAAGGTCAGGTTCAATGATCAGATCTTAAAATGCACCACTTCCCCTCACTCTGTCAGCATCATGCAACAGGACCTCAAGACACAATCTCTGCAGCACTGAATGAGCCTCCTACGATATCAACTCCCACTCTCTACAAGCACCATGAGCAATGACCACATGGTACATCAAGGGCTCCTGGTGTGGGCCCAAGGCCACCCAGACGCAGGGCGCTCACCATCCGGGGGCATCAAGGCTTTGTTGTTCTGCGTGCACCACCCCACGGGGTGGAGATCCGCTATCACCACATCGCACCAGAAGTCCGCCCGGCGGTCCTCTCCGTAACCACAGTAACGCAAGAGCAGCAGCTGCCCGCAAGTGGTGATGACGGTGGCCACCCAGTAGGTGTCTGGGTTGTTCTTGTTAGCCACTTCCAATTTCATCCCTGGCTGGAAGTTACTCTGAATGCTGATTTCAACCTTAAAAAAAAACAGAAACACAGGAAAACCATTATTATACTAGACACATACCTTCAGACCTTAAAACAATAATTCTCTGCCCTAGAACAGCACGAAGATATATTTAATTGGAGCCACAAACAGGGCATTAAATTTCCTGGGAGTCACATTTAAAAGGAAAAAGAAAACAAATGAAATTAATTTTTATAATCCTGTTTCACCCAAGATATTCCAAGTGTCAGTGTTAAAAGTGTAACCAATACAAAAAATACTAATGAGATAATTAACATCCTTCTTTCACAATAAAGCTTCCAGAGCCGGCACAGATTCTGCACTGACAGCACCCTCCATTTGGATAAGGCTCTCCCCGTCAGTACTCAGAGGCTCCCTGAGGCTTGTGGTAACTGAGAGATAGCACAGTCAGTGAGAATGGAGTCCCCTTTTTATTAAGAATTAAAATCTGGGCCCTTCCTGGTAGCACAACGTGTTAGGACACAGCACTGCAAACTAGCTGCAGCCGCTTCAGTACAAGATCGATCCCCACCCTGGAGGTGGGCCACAGGGCTCGGCAGACCTCTCCCGTCTCCCTGCTGCTCCCCTCAGCAGTGTACTTCCTCCATCTGCCTGTTCTGCTCCCCACTCTGTCTCTGGTGGATCCTTTCACCACTCCTGCACCTCGGGCTTGTCCCCTAGTTCTGTATGCATAAATAAATAAATCTTTTTAAAAAAGTAAAATCTATTAATGTTTAGCAGTCCTCCCCCTAAAAGAAACCTTCCAGCCTGGTGGAAGCTCCCAAGCTGATGTCTGTGAATGGCAACAGCTTATAATAGTAGAATTATTAGCAGCTTTTCTGTGGCTCCAGTGTTACTTTTCCTTTAAATGTGGCCTACAGCTCTGGGGAAATTCTGCATCCTGAAGGACACTACATTGTGACTGAAAGGAGATGGAGGACTGAATGGAATAAGGAGCACTGGAGTGACTCCATATTGTATGATTTTGATAGCTTCCTTAGCACAGAGAGGAAGCAAACGTTTTCAGTATGTATGCTCTTTCCAACCATCTCAAGGAATCTAACCAAGTCAGTCTCACACCCTAAGAGGCCAAAGTTACAAAGGCTTTTGCAGGGCTGATTCCTCACATACACCAGGAAAATATTAGCTGTGTAATATTTTAAACTTTAGCTCTTAGTTTCACTAAATGGCCAAGTCACATTCATACAAACTAGTAATTATAACATTGTGACTGTCAATATAAAATGAATTGGTAATGTCATCCAATTTTATGAGGTCGTGTAAATTTAACAAGGTCTTAAATCCCTTTTCAAAGGAACACTTCACCTCCAAAAAAAAATGAAGTTACTGAATTAAAATAAAGAATCACTAGTTTGGCTTCCTAGTTCATTCAAAGCTAGAAGGGAAAACAGGTTGAGAAAGTGACCCAATTTGCTCATGATTCTAAGGCTAAATCTTTGAACTCAGTAGCCAGTGGAGTGGGGGCGAGGAGGAATGTTCCAGTAAAGCTGAAAAACTTTAGTTTGAGAAATTCAGTGTTTGCTGATGCTACACTACCAAAATCATATACACCTATGCAAAAATCTGATTAAAAAGTTTTTCTGGGACCCTCCCTGGTGACACAACCGGTTAAAGCACAGCGCCATGAAACTCACAACAACTACTTCACCGTAAGTTTGATCCCCACCCCGGAGGTGATGCACATGGCATGGCAGACCTCTCCTGACTCACCCACTGCTCCCCTCAGCAGCGTGCTTCATCAATCTGCCTGTTCTGCTCTCCCCACTACATTGCCTGTGGTAAATCCTCTCACCACTCCTGGACCTCTGACCTGTGCCCCAGTTCTGTATGCTTTATAAATAAATAAAACTTTTTAAAAGAAAAAGAACTTTCCCCTTTAAAAAAACTAATTTTCTGATTTCCTGGGACATGCCCTATGCTGGGCAGGCTAATGGCATTGCTGAATATTACTAATGAGAATGATTTTTTTAATCCAAATATTTTCTGAATATTTGTGGTATTTCCACGAATTTGATTCATCCGCCCACAAATGGTTATAAGACTTTTAGGTGCCCTTTCAAAATAAAAATATCAATGCCAAATAAAAAATGTAGATGCACCCTCTGTAGACACACATTACACATGGCACCTTGCTGCATATTTGTGGGTTTTTGGTTTTGTTTTTTTTTTAAGATTTATTATTTATTTGTGCATACAGAACTGGGGTACAGACCAGAGGCTCAGGGGCGGTGAGAGGCTTCACCAGAGACAGAGTGGGGAACAGAACAGGCAGATAGACAAAGTACACTGCTGAGGGGAGCAGCGGGTGGGCCAGGAGAGGTCTGCCGCGCCATGTGGTCACCTCCGGGGCAGGCGGGAATCGAACTCATGCGGAAGCGGCTTTAGATTCTCAATGCTGTGCTTTAACCCACTGCGCCACCAGGGAGGGCCATATTTGTGGTTTTTTTAAGTATCTGCATAAACCCTACTCATCTCGGGCCGTGTGGTCTAGAAAGCAAGGGCTATGTCTGTCTAATTTGGCTTCCTGAGGTAAGACAAGGTCAAAGCCAAACAAACCCAGCACCGTCACCCTGACACCATGAAACAAACTGTATGAGTGAGACCCTTATGCCAGCAGCCGTGAAAGCAAACGAACATCCACATCTCTATTTCTAAAAAAATCTCAACTGAATTGTGCTTTTTCTTTTCATCCCACTTCTTCCCACAGGCTAGCTGGCATCATTCTGCTGGACTCCTTCTACTCTGGCCAGGGTGAGTGGAGGGGAAATGTTTGACATACATGTTTGAATGAGGTGTGGGGTGCCGCGCTGGCACCTGTTTCTTCCAAATACTCTCCCCAGTTAAAGCCGATTTCCTCCAAGCTTGAACCTTCCTCTGCTGAAAGACAAAAGCACAGAGCAATGTCAGTACTAGAGTGAAGGATGGCAAGGCACCAGCCCTCCACGCAGACCAGAGACTTCTTAATGTGAGAGGTTAAATATTCAGTGGTGGGGGGCGGGGGGAACACCAGAATTCTTCATATAACTTCAGTGTGCCAATTTTAGATTCAATGGATGGAAGAAAGGAAACACTGAAGAAACTGCCCGGACTACCTTGAAAAATCAAGAGTAAGATGAAGTGTTCTTAGTCAAATGAAACAAGACCTGTTTTGTGAAAAGCTGGTTCCACTTTACTGGAACCATTTTAAAACTAGGCCAGGGTAGCCCACATACAGAACATTTTGCTGGCTTGTTTAAACTGGACCAGACCTCTGGAATGGGCCAGAAAACCAATATTCCAAGAAGTCACCAAGGTAGGAATTTTTCCTCCTGAAAGAACTGATAAAAGTAACTTTTATCTCATAACGCCTCCCTCCATCTAACAGTACTTAATCCATTTCATTCTCTCTATAAAAATACCTGCGATTTTGTCCCTCCTCAGGATACTATTTGGGGTCCTGCTCAAATCCATGCTCCACACATTGTAAATCTCTGATCCCTAGTAAATGCAATTTGACTTTTAATAGCCTCCCAGTTTTTAGGTTAACCACTTAAAGACATATTTGCCTCCCGTGAGAATATTCATTTGGAATTGGTCACTGTGGACACACCAGTCTCTGGGAGGCTGTTGAAGGAAACCAGCAGGTTCTGGAGTAAGCACCAATGTAGTCAAGGCACTTGCATCTTTGTCCACTGACCGCTCAGAGGCTGAAGGTTATAAAATACATCATAGATTGGAAGTGCACAGGATTTAGACACCACTCATCCCAATGTCATTTTGGGGGTGGGTGGGGACGAACCCAGAAGGATTGCTCAAGTGTGTGAGGTCACAGCAAGTCAGTGACAGAGACAGACCAGCTGCCCGCCCAGTCCAGAGCCTACTCTCCCCACATGACAGAGCCTCCAGGCAAGGCACATGAGGAGAGACCAGCAGACGCGCCGGCCTGCATTTACAAAAATCAAGGAGAAATACAACCAGTGCAAAGTGGGGCTCTTAACACTATCTTTTTGCTCTGAAGAAAATGCAGCAATCCAAAAATAGTTAAGACTGTGCATAAGATGTGGTGTGTAGAGTTGAGAAGCAACGCTAAGGTACAGTGAACACTTGTCAGAGTTTCAAATGTAAAGAGCTAACCAGCATTATTTCAATCCATCTGCAACGTTATTAGAAAGAACAAACACCAGACAGGGCTGCCCGAACCCAGAGATCATTTGGAGTTCCAAAAATCAAGATGTTCTTTTCTTACAAGAATGTTCAATCATGTCCAACTGTGTGCATCTACTTGAAAGACAGTATTTCAATGGCCAAGAATGAATACTGCTTTCAACTGTGTTATTAATGTACAAGTGACAAACAAGCAGAGAGACTAGAAGATTTAGCAATGGGAGTCCAAAACAGGCTTGTTCCAACAGGCTTGTTCCCACAACCTTTTCTGCTAGAAATTCTTTAATTATGAGAAAAGTAATTTTCTAAGATACTCAGTGTAATCTCAGAAATTGATACAACAGTAATTTTCACAAAATTAGAATGCTATGTTAAGTGATAGTTACTTTACATACTGTGTTCCAAATCAAAATTGCTTAGAACTGCCTCCTCAAATTGTACTCCCATAAATGCCTAAGGGCTATTTTTTTCCAAAAGCTTTCCTTTGTATCTCTCCCAAATTCTGCTTCATCCACAGAATTATGCCTTTCAATCAAATATGTGCTCTCTAAAGAAAGTCAAGCTAAGAAGAAATATGCCAGGTGGTTTCCAGCTGAAAATACAGTGAAACGACTCAAGAGAAGGCGGTTAAATTATGGAAAACACCTCCATGTATCGCCCAAACAGTTCTGCCCAAAACTCTCCCCTCAAACAGGGCATCTATTACCAAGTTTGCTTTCTGATCCACAAACCAGAAGCAGCAACACAGCATGATTTACATGCCCACGTGGCCTGGCACATAGTCTGTTGGAGAGCTAACTGTCACGGAGAGCGTTTCATTTTCATTTCTTTACGCACTTCTGTCTGTCCCACCTCAGCAGACGCTGAGCTTGCAGCCCCACCTGTGTCCAGCACGTTTGCTCCACCACGCACCACACCCATCACCCCATCGCTTCACTGGGCTGTCCATGCTGCCTGCTAATTCTTCTACCTATCACTCATTGAGTCCTTCCAAGAATGCACAGAAGAGAGGACAGGTGCCCAGAATGGCGAAGGAGTCGCCAGGGTGGATACACTATCAGCCGTGAGGCAGGAGTCCAATGCACGCTGTGGGATTTCCAAACTGGACTTTACAGGCTGTGCGTGTGTCAGACATCACACATGGCCGCTGCTACCACGTGGAGGCCAAGTCCAACTCTAAGGCCACTTCTGCGCTGGTGAGCATTCGGCATCCCAGGCTGAAGTCAGGTGTCAAAAACTTAGGCGAAGGGATGAAGCAGGGACGGTAGCCTCCCTGGGAGAGGGAGACAGACAGGGCCCTGGAACTGGTCTGCAACATGGAAAGACCCACGAAGAAGATGTGACACAAAACCAGAGGCACTGGTACTGGGGGCTTCTGGCTGAGGATTACCCCAAAACACCCGCCAAAAATGGCAACAGGTTCTCTTGGCGCATGACCAGTGCTCGCCGGCCACTGAGCTGCCGCAGCCAGAGCCTGGGAGCAGAGGATGAGCAGCCTCCGCGCTGTTCTCGGAAACCACTGGAGAGTACGCAGTTTCTTCGACTTCAACTAAAGCGCCATTCCTTGCTGGTCCTTTTCTTCACAAAATTCTAACTGAGGAGCTAGTGCTTTCACACAAACTTTGTTCCCACCAAGACTGAATCCATTACAAACAGGATTCCCGGTCTCTTCTCCCAGCGTGGTAGCCTGTGGTTGCTGTCAAGCTCACGGGAGTACCTTCAAGTTAGCCCAGGGCCAAGAGGGCCCGAGATCTCAGTAGGGTAGAACAGTGCTCAGGAAAGTTCACCTTGTGACCTAAAAAATTGACTTTCAAAGCGCCCAAGTTACACCTACAATGAGATTCAAAAAAAAATCCAATCTTAAGCCCTGTGCTAGTAACATTAACTGTGCTGTTTAATAAAACCATGCACAAAAGGGAGGGTTCCTCACAATGCGGCCTTTTCACATTTGTAACATAAAACATTTCCTCGAGCACCTGTGTCCCGAGCAGCAGATTCTCCTAAAGACTTTTAAAGAGCAATAGATAAACACACACAATGTTTATGAGTGGGGGGGGGCTCATAAACCCAGAGCAAATATTTACAGCTGATTCATAAACCTCTCAAGCCCATAAACATTTTATCAAGCAAACTGACAATCTCCCTCCTCCACTTCCCCCTGTTGTAAGGAAAACAGACCATGAGAGCTACTAAGACAATTTCACAATGTCAAAGAAAACAGGCAAGTTCATGAGTGGCAATGCAGTTTTAGGAAACAGAAAGCTACTGATGGGGGGTTGGGTATTTCATAATAAATAGCAAAAGAGGACCTTAGTGAAATAAACGCTGGAGTGCAACTTTACAGTGAACAGTGGAATAAACAAATGGCTCATACTTTAAGTAATCAATCTGAATATTGAATCTCATAACCACTCTCCAGTAAGGAGGTGAACACAATCTCACACAGCACTCCCTTGTGTGTGCTCTACAATTGTGTCAATGAGGAAAGGGAGAGGAAGACACCAAATTTTTGTCATTTTAACTGCTGATAGTTCCTATGATCACCAGGTTTAGAAAAGTGCTCCACTGTGAGTAGATTATACAGACACAATACAAAGGAAAGGAAGCGATTCCAGCTCAGAGTTCACTCTGCAGGCCTGCACCCAGCGAGAAGGGACAGTCACCTGACCAGAGGTCAGGTTTTTCCAGAAAAATGAGAACAGGTAAAAAGCACCCGATCACCTAGCAAGGGGAACCAACAATCAAAAGAGCATGAGAAAAAAGGGGGGAACTACGGAGTCAGGCAGAACCAGTTTCCAGTTTTAATTACAGAACTGAGCTTTTCTAATAAGAAAGTGACTCCTGGCCCTCCCTGGTGGCATAATGGGTGAAAGTGCAGCACTGCAAGCGAGTAGCTGCTTCAGTGCCAGTTCAATTCCCAGCCCCTAGAGGTGATCCACATGGCGCAGCAGACCTCTCCTGACCGCCTGCTGCTCCCCTCTGCAGTTTACTTTGAAGATCTGCCTGTTCTGCTCCCCACTCTGTGTCTGGTGAGTCCTCTCACTACCCCTATACCCCAGCTATGTATGCATAAATAAATAAATCTTTAAAAAAAAAAGTGACTCTTGGGGTGCGGGGCGGGGGATGGGGTAAAAATAAAAAACAATGTGACTCTTTTCCTTCTCAAGAAATGTCTGTGGGACTTCCTTTAATACTTCTAATGCCACCCCCAAAAGCCCACCTTTCCAGTGTAATTCTTTTTCCTCAGTCTTACCCAGTGTAAATGTGCAACCCACTTTAGCTACAGATTTCATCAGGAAATTACATTTAGCCAGCCTAGAAAAATAATGCCAAGGAATCTATTTATCACTATGTCAGCATATTGTTGTGCTCGCTTTTATCATGGCAATTGAAGAAGTTCTAGAAATCCAATTTTGGGCCACTCCCTTCTTTGCGTGCCAGTGACAGTGATGTCCATTCTGTCACCGGGGAGCCTTCCATTCACCTGCCCCTGCTCAATTCGGCAGCACCCCCAGCCTTTCAGGAGGGGGAGTCACTTTACAATATGCCTATAAATCCAAGAAACTCAGGGTCAGACATTGACCCCAATAATGATTTGAGCTTCCCTTAGATGAGGCAAAGCTAGAACATGAAAATGCTGTTAAGGAGACTTAGAGTACAGCGTTCAAAGCTTTCATTTTAGAGGAATGGGAAACTGTGCTAGGAACTGTAGCAGGTGGGACAGGTCAGGGCACACACGCCGGACTTTCTGCTCTTCGGCCTCATAATACTTTAGCAAAGAGGAGCTGTGGGCCTTTCTGTGTGTCACTGCCAGGAAGATGCGGCTGCCTATCACATAGCACTCAAGGAGAGAGGGCGAGAGATGAGGGAAGATGGGAGAGAACCAAGTGGGACCTGTGTCCCAGAGAGCGAGGGGAAGGAAGTATGGGCATCGGGGTGTATCTGTGGGCACATTTAAGCATCACGGTTGTCTGCTCTCTGCGCTGAAGAATAGCACAGCCCAGATTTCACAGCACAAACTTTGGAGCTTCACGAGGCCCAAGATGAAATCCAGGCTCCAACAATCCAGCCAAGTGACTTGACCTTGTCTTCCAGTTTCCCCCAACCCAACAAAAGGGGACTAAGAGAGCAGCTATTTCACAGGTTCTAAACGGATTTGATGAGTCAACACATGAAAATTACCTAAAAGCGAGTCTGCCACTCAGTTTGAACTCAGAATCATGGCCCTAATCGGCCCAAGTCCACTTAGATGTAGCTAAAGAACAATGAATGTGCCATCTCTCTTTCATTCACGAAGCCAGTCTCATCTGGAACACTGCCAGGGGAGACCCCGGACTCCACCATCCTGCCTGAAGTACGGCAACAGGGTCCCAGAACCAAAGGTCACATAGCCCATAAGAGAATGGAAAATCTTTCGTGTGTTCTCAGGTTCAAAGGGGAACTACCTGGAAAAATAAACAGCTTGATGACTATACTCAATGATGTGACAGTTTAAATGCTCAAAATCAGATGAGTTTCTAGTAGCTCCTCCTTTAAGTGTGTTTCCTCTTTAGGAGTCTGTCTTTATGGCACCATGTAAAAGTCCCTTATCTCACAAGTACAAACAGAAATTCCATAAAGACAGGACATGTTCACCGTATAGGGTGAAAAAAAAAATACCAGCATCTAAAAAACATTCCGATAATCTAGAGCTATTGAGAACTACTGCTTCTACGAACCTGAACACCTTGGCCTGGGCCTCCCGCCACACAACAGTGGAAAAGTAGCCCGTTCATAGAAATCACCCACAAGAGAGAGTCAGTACAAGTAACTGCCATATTATTATTAATGAGCTTCAGAAAGTACTTAAGCTGGAGAGAGATACTGCAGCTGCATGGAAATGAAAAGTCAACACCACGTTGGCTTTTAAACGGTTTTGAAAACATACCATAGAAAATGATGCAATAATAAACCTCAGATGTGGGTGTGATAACAAGGCCGTGGTCGTTCCAGGACCAAAGGTGGGAAAACCACCTCACTCAGCAAACATGAGAAAGATGTTTTTAAAGGCTCCTTTGTGCTTTAAATAAAAATAGAATAAATAGGGTGAACCTTCACCCGGAGGGCCAGAAAAGCATTTCCAAATTTTACTGGGAGACACTGATTCAGCTGCGCTTTTATGTTTCCCTGCTCCTAGTTCATGTACAGAAGAACAGGCCCGGGGAAAGTGAAGCTGATTTTGAAACAGATACTGCCATCTTTCAACATATTTAGATAATTATTTCAGGGCTTTCCACATTTTTACCAGAAAAAAAAGAAAATTCCAAATAAAGACCTATTTTGAGAAACTTAATTAATTCAATAATGCCAAGTAAAACTGTAATTCTATCATTGGCTGAGCTCATCAATGGTCAGATCTCCTATTGAGTTAATGATCAACATTTTTTTTTTCACGAATTACCACAGCAAATGTTTATAATTCAGAGAGCTAATTTATTTAATATGGCCCAATGTAAATCGTGCAGTCCTTTTAAAACTATATATACAGAACTCTTTTTGAAGTAAATTATTATGTATTTAGAAAAAGATGCACTTACAAGTTTGTTAGTTAGATATTAAAATACAACCAAAGTCTTTTTTTTTGGGGGGGGGGATAGATAAAGGGAGACACACCTGACTGCAAATTCATTCTTTCTTTTGCATTATGCACTTTTTGAAAGGTATGTGCAAGGTTTTGGAGAGGAACTGAGGTGCTGGTAGCCAAAGCTTGGGCAGAGCTAGCTCCCCTTTCTTGGACACATGGAAGAGGATTCTGTCTTCCTGCATCCAGCCAGTGACAGAAATATATGAACAGTTCTGTGGTGAAGAGGTTCTGAGCACAAGCAACACCAAGCTCTTCTGAGCTACAGTTTTTCCTGCTGATTTCCACCTGAGGCTCTGGCCCTGGAGGGAGCCGAGATGCAACACGCTGAGACCCTGGGTAGAAGATGGCGTGTCCAGAATGGCAAGTTGGACTCTATCTGCAACCGTATAAATGTGTTTAAATATGCACTGTACTAAGTTACTAAGATTTGAATTGATCAGTCACCTTAACGATAACCTAGCCCACTCTGTCTAGTATTGACAACATTAATTTTGATCAATGACTTTCAAGCTACTCTATGCTTCCAAAAAGACAGCAAATTCTAGGTGCAGAAAGTATGTGACCTCTAAGAATGTTGCCCCCTTGTTTTCTGAACATTTTGGAAAAAAATTGGTCAATAAATCAAAAAGCCAAATGGACCTAGAAAGCAAAATCCTACCTGAATCAAGATCGCCATTGCTGTTAGCTGAGCTTTGATGTTTATCCAAGGGTGAGGACGAAGGGTCTTGCATCTTGGAAACTGACAAACTGCTGTCCATTCCTAATGAGTAAGATTCCTCTTCTCTTAATTCATCCTACAGAAAGAAGTACCTAAGGGGAGAAAAAAAAAATCAGAGTATTTTCATTAGAATCCCTTGTCTTTAAATTCTTCAAAACTAACAGCACCTTATTAAAAGCTGCTAGTTTTCACTATAACATATAGGACACAATGTAGGGCGGGTAAGAGAAAACACCAGGAACCGCCACCCAAGGACACCTGCCGGCTCCAGGTCAACAACCAAAGTCACAAAATAGCAAAACCATCAATTTTCCATAGACCAGTATCACCATTAAGCTAGCTACATTTTTTCACCAACCAAAGAATCTACATTTCCATTCCCAATCATCCTTGGTAGGCTTGGCAATAAACCTTACCATCCAATTGTTTCCTCCTCTCTCTGTGCTTGAAGCAGCCAGTTCCCAGCACCCCCACACACACTGCAAGACCAAGTGATTCCTTAGCAAACCTCATTAAAGCATCATCATTAGTGAGCTGGTCTTTTCCTGTATGATATTCGGCCACCCCTCCTCTGCATTCTGGTGTGACTGGTGGAAACGTGGTAAAACCGCAGCCAGTTCTCACAGAATCCTACAATCTAGCTCATCTGTACCACAGACTGTGAAATAGCCTGACACGTTCTTAGTAAGCGTCCACGGTTCACAGTCCTAGTGGTTAAAAGCAGAGCTGCTTGGGGGGTTAGCACTTTCATTTATTCAATGTTCCCTCTTATTTCACACACTGATAAAATTTTAAATCAGTAAAAGGGTGAAATATATGAAAAGAACAAAGGGCAGTGCATTTACGCCTACAAGAGAAATGTTTGTGACTCTCTTACCATTACAGTATCTTTAAGACTACCACACATTTCTTAAATACACGTATGCAAGCCCTGCCTGGTAGCGCAGCGGGTTAAAGCACAGCACTAAGAAGCTAAAGCCAATTCAGCATGAGTTCGACCCCTGCCCCAGAGGTGATGCACATGGCATGGCAGACATCTCCTACCCACCCGCTGCTCCCCTCAGCAGTGTGCTTCGTTGATCTGCCTGTTCTGCTCCCCACGCTGTACACTGTCTCTGGTGAATCCTCTCACCACCCCTGCACCTCTGGCCTGTATCCCAGTTCTGTGTGCATAAATACATAAATCTTCTTAAAAAGTACACACATGCACTCATCCCTTGTGTGTGCTCCTCCTTTCCTAAAAAATATTCTCATGTTTCATTGAAATTAAAGGTTTATAAAAAAATGTGTCCATCACTTGTACAATGAGGGGGAAAGATTAAAACTGTTGCAAAAAGGTAACAAGAAAAGAATGGAAATGTACAGGTACAAAGCACTAGAAATCCATTCAGCATGTATTTGTTATGCATGTGTCTATAGAAAACACTATTCCAGACACTGTGGATACAATGCCATTTCTCAATCACAACACAGAGAAAATGCTTATTTTACAATAGGAAATATAAAAATATCTGGAACAGTTCATTTAACAGCAATCAAGGCATCTTGCTAGGACAAAGCACATGAACAAGTAAATCAAATGACAAATACAGGCAATTATAAACAACTGGATTATCTTCCATTCATCCAGCACAAGGGCTTACATTTTCTAATGCAAGAGTAGGGTCTCTTTCCTGAAGAGGGTAAGTCAAGACCAAGGAAGCAAACAGTTTAAATCAGACCATTCTCGATCAAATAAAAGTCAAGGTTAAGAGGCTGTGCATGAAATAGTTTCTTTGGATTATTTTTAAAGTCACATAAAGACAGGTAAACAGGCAAGCACCATGACTAAAGACCAGTTACGTGTATTCATTGCAGCACTATTCAGGATGTGGTAGAGAAAGTAAGGTAAAAACAGTCCTAATCCTAATCCTCTAGCAGATTCTAAGAAAAATGGTGTAAGAATATAGGAGAGTATTAAACCAAAAACTTCACAAAAAGAAGCTGTCTCACTAGTAAATCACTTGGTGCTCAGTTTCTAAAAGCTCAGTTGAAAATGCCACCAGATAAAGGAACCCTTTAGCAGATAGGTGGGTCTAAGCTTATTTAAAATGGAGAGGACTGGTAAACCCAGCACTATAACATGGAGGCTAATTTTATCCCGTGACATCCACTGCTAAAATCAGCCACAAGATGACAGAACTGCACCTTCCACAGTGCAACTCCTTTCGCAGTTGCTACCTTACACAAACACTGGGATGTGTGCAGAGCTCAGCTTGGCAATGCCTCCCCATGTGGCTGCCCACCACAGCCCGGACAGCAGAGGGTCAGGCTGCTGCAGTGACCCCAAGTATCATGTCCCAGATCTGGAGTGGACACTGGGGAACACTACTCAGCAGGTCACCTCATCACCATGGGCATTTCAGAAGCAACTGCGAGTACAATCTGCAGAGAAACCATCTGTGGATAACCAGCGTGGGCGGTTGAACTAAACACCCAGGGCCAGAAGGTGTCCACCCAGAATGCTCATCGGGAGTACCGGGAGTCATAGCGCACACCCACGCACAGGAACTGGATGGATGGCTGTGGCTCAAGGGTCAGGCCATCATCTAGTGGTACAACGTACGGCCATTCAGGACAACGAGATGGCAGAGAGGCAAACAAAGAGGAAGAGGCTGGCACCTCTGGAAAGCACTGCCTTCCTCACTGCCGCCCATGGGCAATCCATGAGGAAACTAGCAAGAATTTGGAAGGAGAAGGGCATGCAACTGAAGGAAAATTATAGGAAACAAGACCACTGGTGAAAATGCAGCTGACCGGGACAGAAAACAAGATGGGCATTTATCAGAATGCGGGGAGTGGGGGCTGGATCTTAAGGCATATTACAGCGTTTCCAAAAACAATGACCGCAAAAGCCACACAGCTACATGAAAGACCCTGAGCGAGTAAACACAGGAGCGTAACTGCATGTGAAGAGCGGGAACAAAGCTTGGGGTAGATGGCGTTACAGTACGAAGGCTCCCAGATTTCAGATGTTCACAGATGTGAGCCAAACTACAATCCAAGAAAATAATACATAATAAATGGGTGTTCACAGGGTACATTTTTACTTGTCAAATTCAGGCCTAAACTAATGTGCTCGGTGTGTCTGTGTTTATATTGGAGATGTCTCAAAAACACAATTTACTCCATCTGGCCTGCTAAGTGCCAAAGCAGTGAGGGCCTCTCAGGGAGAAGACACCTAAGGCTGAGGTGGGGAAAAGGGGAACGTCTGTTCCTCCCTGGTGGCCTAGAGGTTAAGTCAGCGCTGTCACCTCTACAGCCTGAGTTCTATCCCTGGTGAGGGAGCTGACCCACATGGTGCAGCAGACCTCTCCTATCTCACCCACTGCTCCTCTCAGCAAGGCATTTCAGTAGATCCACTCATTCTGCTCACCACTCTGTCTCTGGTGAATCCTCTCACACACACACCCCTGCGCCTCTGGCCTACATCCCAGTTCATCTATGCAAAAAAAAAGGGGGGGGGAGAACAACCATGGTCACTTGTTAGTGTTACTCTGATGTAAAATGAATGAACTTCTCCACAGCTTTTGGGAACCTAACCTGTTAGGCAGAGGAGTTTTGTACCTCAAAACATAAAGATGGAAGCATGAGCTGGTAAGTACATACTACAGATTGCACTGCGGCACCCCCAAAACACTCTAGTACCAGGGATTAAATAAGGAGGTGGTGCCTGGGGCGGGTGGGGGGGCAGCCCTCATGAGGGCATCAGTACCCTGTAAAAGAGACCCCTGTCTTCAGAATCCATGCTGTCTAATCCTACTCAGGCTGCTGCAACAACACACATTTGTTTCTCACAGTTCTGGAGGTTACGAAGGCCAGGACCAAAAGCCAGCAGATCCAGAGTCTAGTGAGAACCCAGGACCTGGTTCTTAGCCTCTTCGCAGGGTTCTCACCTGGTGGACAGAGAGCAGTCTGATCTCTTCCTCTTGGGGGCTCCATCCTGATGACCTCATTTCAACCTAGTTACTTCCCAAGGGCCTCACCTCCTGGCACCATTCTACTAGGGTTTGAGTTGAGGGTTCTAAGAGTCTTGGGGGACACAAACATGCAGTCTGTAATAATACCTTTATCCATTAACATAAGTTATCCAATGCAAATGTTTTTTGCCGACTCTCCCATTATTAGGTCTTCTATAATGACTGTTACTTCTATACATTTAAAAATGATCATTTTTAAATAACTGAGTAGCTCTTACAGAGAAGGGACAATGAAAAGAAATACTTCTAAAATGTCAGAGGAGTGGTAATTCTGACCCAAATTTTACCTGGAGCACTTAACTCTCCTAGGCATGAACAGTTATTATTCAAATTCCTCCAGAAAAGCTCCCTTGAGGGCAAACATACTTTCCTCAGCAAATTCTAAAACACACGCAATTTTAAATTGACTGGACAGGTAAGTGCAGTGTGTGCAATTTCACCGTACAGGCATTAACTGAACATCTGGTTTATATGAGCAGACACTGCTCTGGGCACTAGGGACAGACACATAAACACCAGTGGCATAATACCACTCCCACAAAGAAGCCACGGCCTAGGCCAGAGCCCAAGGCAAGTCCCAAGGCAAGGTGAGCAAAGGGTGACAAGAATACAAAGATAGGCAACAGAAAATGGGAGGTGAGGCAGGAGGAGACGCCACTAAGGAAACCAGAAGGTCAAGTAGTAGTATAGGCTCAAAAGACTTAGGAAGTAGAAAAAACATCCAACATGGAGGCACGATGTAAAAGAGGGTGTGAGTCTGTGTGAAAAGTCCTACACTCATTACAGACTGGAAGACTATAGGCCAGTGTATCACTCCCACTCAGCCCCAAATAGTCAGTGACCCCCTTTTAAAGTGGCAGCCACTGTTTTTAGGCATTGAGAAACATCTGTGATAACAAAAACTTCTGTTCGAATAGAGATGATAGTGGGGAAAAGTTCACACTTTTTTTTTTAATTCTAACAGTTTATTTTTACATCATTTTGTGCCTTTTTCCATCTCAACTGTAGTCCCCATCGGCTTCCCATCACCAAA